CGAGGTTGTTTAGGTAGTCTTCCAAAGACCTGTAACTTTCTAGGGCTGTTTAGTAAAGTTCTCATGGCTAAGAAATTCCTTGTATTCTTTGTTTGCCTGTCACATTGTTCCTGACTTGGTTAATTAAGAAGCTCAGAGCACCCAGTGGGAAACTCTGAGGGATTGTTTATAAACAACTGGGGAATCAGGAAGACTCAGTTGCTGGTTCCAGGGTATAAGAGGTCTGGAATGAAGAGCCCCATGTTCCAAGGAAGGGTTGCAGGAATGACATCTGCATCCAGGAGTGTGCCTCAAAGACCCTGAGCTAGCAACAGTGATCTAGCTCTGCCCAGTCCCAGTTGGTTCAGGAGCACATACGATCCAGCAGTTGGGTCCACTCACAGCAGACCGCTGTCCATCCTGAGGTGGGGAATGGCCCATGTTGTGCCAATATTATCCTAAATTTCTGACATGTTGGTGTTCAGCAAATGATTTAAACCTCCTTGAGAAATTAATAACCCCTAACATAGTCCTAAAGCATATTGTGATAACCTCACAGTTGGTTATCTGAAAGATTTGGTATTGCAATGACACTTGTTGTAACTCTTAAAAAGTCTGACTTCAGTGGGGCTTTGGATCTGGCCCTATATTTATTTCATCTAACCTTTTGGTAAGCATATTATTTGCATTAAATATAAGGAGAACTTTGATCAAAATATACATGCATGTTAAATAAAGGAGAGATTACAGAGTGAGTTTTGAATTACAGTTTTGAATACAGATCCTACATTTCTTCAAGTGCTTAACCATATATTTATTCCACTATAGGTGTGCACGTGCTAGAGATTGCAGATATTTTGCTAGCAGTGTCCATCTGGGCCACGCATGCACACTGACTACTTACGGCGTAGAAAGTGGCGCTGGACTAAATACCACTCCAGTTTCTTGGCCTGAGATGGAGCACTTCCGAGCCTCACTTGTTTAGCTTACCTTATAACATTTTGTAGAACATTCTGTAGATACTTTTTTTAGTCAATTATTCTTATGTAGTATAGGGTAGTGTAAAATTGCCTTTTGGCATTTAAATTATAGTTCTATTACATAGTTTGAGGGAGTTATAACTCTCTTCTCCCCTTAGTTTTCTAGTAAAGGAGGTTTTTTGTAATGCCCCAAATCCCCTGGATTTATATTTTGAGAGTCTCTGTGAAGGAGCCTTTCCCTTCAAAAGTGATCACAACTCATAGCCTTTTTTGTTTAGGGGGGAGTCATATGTCCCTGCTAAATGCTGTGTGTGCAAGTTGTTCTGTGGAAGAACAAAAAGAATCCAGGGAAGCAAGGCTACAGGTGTATTTGTTAGTCTGCTCCATATGGGCACCCTTAGACCCAAGCCCATCTGGACACACTTCACCCCCCTGTACAACAGACTGCAGGATTGAAGAGTGCTCTGTCCATTAGTTCCAGGGACTGTTCCTCGAAGGAGAGCTGTAGGAAGTCTCAGTGGGAGTTACAAGAAGGTAGTGAGAAACACTTCTCCAAAGAGATGAGGAGCACACATCCCCATGAAATCTTTGGGGAAGATGGGAGGGGGAAGAGGTCAAAATCTCCTCTTTGCTTCTAGAGAGACCCTGTGGCCCAGTATGGATACTACTGTGGCTTTGAAGGATCATGGTACCAAATTTTCAGTACGGCGGCACAAGGGCTCTATGCCTGCTCCAAATGCTGAGTCCCTTGGTATGCAGGCCTCTTCAGTACCAGTGAAGTCGGCCCCAGCTGCTGCTACTTCATTGGCACCAAGTAAATGTTTGGCACCTGCTAAACCATTGGTTCTGGGGAAGCATTTGGAACTGAGCAAACTTCATTAGCACTGGTACTGAAGGACCTGCAGGTCTCTAATAAACCTGAGTCCCCTTTATTGTCAGGAAGTATACATTTATATATGAAGGTACTGTGCCCAATAAGCATACTTGGGCACACTAGCTTCATACATCGTCACACTGAGAGACTGACTCAGGCAACAGTTCACCCAGCCTCAGGATCCTCCAGTGCAAACTCATCAAATTTCTCTCAGAGGAGGAAGAACATCCTACAGAGGAGGACATGCAGGCACCATTAGTCATCTCCTTTTCTCTGGATGAGACAGTAATCCCTTCAGCATCATCATGCCCCATTGACTATAGGAGCTTTCAGGACCTCATGAAAAGGGTAGCTGATGCACTGTAAATTCCTCTGGAGGAAATTCAGACGGCTCCTCACAAACTTTTAGTCATTTTACACGAGACTCGGTCAGGGTGAGTTGTTCTGTCCATTAACGAGGTCCTTTCGAGCCTGTGAAAACAGTCTGGCAGACTCCAGCTTCCATTGACCCAAATTCTAAGACAAAAGACAGGGAATATTATGTGCCATCCAAATGGATGTAATATCTGTACTCCTAGCTGGGGCTTGGCTCTGTTGTGGAGGTGGCTATAAATGAATGGACTAAGCATTCCAGCGTGGTCCCATGAGAAAGGGAAGTGAAACCTTTAGACTTTCTGTCTGAAAAAATTATTCTTTTTCAAGCCAGCAGTTTAAAATAACCAGTGTGCTTAATGCCAGCATCCGTAGTGATGCATCATTGTGGCTTCAATTGCTTGGAATCCCAAGAGAGGTCCAAGCCACAGTGGAGGTTCTTCCATTTGAAGGACCAAATCGTTTCAGTTGGAAGACTAATCGCAAGGATTCAGTGCACCTCTTTTGTCCCTCGGCACATATGGTCCTGCAACGAAGAGGAAATAGTATAAACCTCAGCCTTTCCCTAGACAAAAGACTATGCCACCTGGTTTCTACTGCTAGAGGCCTAGTGAACCCCCCCAGGAAGCAGCCATGGTTTCAGAAGAGGTGGTCTACAGCTCCTGCTTTTTCTTCACAGCCAGTCACAACTAGTAAACATTCCTTTTGAGATGCTGGTCGAGAGCTGCAAACCAATCTTTCTTCTGGATCTGCCGCCGCCTTCTTCCCTGCTATTTGGAAAACCCTTGTCCTGTTTCAGGGGTCATGGAACAACATAATGGACGAATGGGTCTTGGAGTTCATAACATCTGATTATGCAGTTCAGTTCCATACTACACCTGTTTCCTCCTCCCCACACACACACCTTCTCTGTCCCTTTTCAGGGACCCCTCTTATGAGAGGCTTCTCATCTCTTAAGTAATAAAGAGGTGCTTCCACCTTAAAGAGGGAAAGGTTTCTATTCCAGGTATTTCCTTTCACCCAGGAGGAAGAGGGAGCTGGGTTTTGACAGCTTTTACAGAGGCCCAATTTGAACCCTGGGCTTCATGTTCTTTCTTTCACTTGTCTATCAAGACCGCCCTTCTTCATTGTGACCACATCAGCTGGAAGGGTGGGAGAGAAAGATTTCATTGCGAACTGTCCCTTACACATTCTTCTACATCGACAAGGTATCCCTCAGACCTCACCCAAAGTTTATACGTAAGGTTGGTCTGAGTTTCATTTGCATCGGTATTCTTTTGCCAATATTTTTCCCGAAACCATATTCTAATCATGATGAAGCTAGATTACAGACCCTGGATATTCAAAGGGTCCTTGCCTTTTATCTTCAGAGACAGAAGCTCTTTTGGTCTTCTCCGAGACTCTTCATTTCCTTCCTCATTTCGAAGATGAGGAGTACTCCTATTTCCACCCAAAGGTTATCAAAGTGGGTGTTGGAATACATTAAGCTATGTTATGATTGACAAAGGTAGTTTCGCCAGCTAATATTAGGGTTAATTCAGCCAGGACCTGGGTGATCTTGGTAGTTTCCCTCAGGAATGTCTGCATTAGTGATATCTGTAAAGCTGCCACATGGGGTTCCAGAATACCTTCTCCAGACATTGAGTTGGTAGCAACTTCTGCAGCCGATGCCTCTTTTGGTAGGGCAGTCTTTCAGTCTGTGGTAGATATTTAGATCACTGCTTGGAAGTCACCTAGAGTGGAATACACTTATGGACAAATACTTGAAGAAGAAAGAAGGGACGGTTACTTAGCTGTAGAGTAGAGGTCCCCAAACGGTGGGGTGCACCCCCCTAGGGGGTCACAGAGGAAAGGGAGCACCACCCAGCCCTGCCCCCAGCCGTGGTCCTGGTGCATGGCTCCAGCTCCCAGCCCCACGCCTGACCCCGTCCCCAGCCTCGGTGCAGCTCCACACTTGGCCGTGGGCCCAGCTGTGGCTCTGCTCTCAGCCCTTGGCCGTGGCTCTGATACTGGCCCGAGGACGAGGCTGGGGACTGGAGTGGACCTGCATCTGGCCACGGGCCCCCAGCCTCAGCCCCTCACTGCGGCTCGAGCCCCAGCCCCATGCCCAGGTGAGGCCCCAGCTTTGGCCCCCTCATGCCTTCCCGCATCTTCTCCTTCCCCCTCCCGGAGTCCCGGCCCCACTCCTGGACCTGGCTCTGGTGGGGGAAGCAGAGGGGCGCAACCCTCAAAAGTTTGGGGACCACTGCTGTAAAGTAACTGGAGTTCTTTGAGATGTCATTCAAATGTGTATTCCATGACTTGCCCCCTTTCCCCTCTGCTTCAGAGTCCCTCTGTAATATTATGGAAACCATGATAGAGAAGGAACTGGAGTGGTGATTGAGCCTGGTCTGCTCTTTATACCTTCAATAATAGGCACAAGGGTGATCGTGTATAGACCAGATAGACAATGTGAGCAAAAAATCTGTAATCTCTGGCCCATGGGGCACATTTACATCTAGACTGGAATACTCATATGGACAAAACATCTTAAAGAACTCCAATTACTGTACAGGTAATTAACTTCCATTTCAGATTTGAAAAAAGACTGCAGCAATATTATACTTCATTATTAGGTACCAGGGTTTTATTACTAATTTTCATTTTATACAGAAATAGGAAATGTGTTTGATAAGTCTCTTTTTCAACAGAATGGCTTCCTTATGAAATTAGCTTTCTTCTAAGTCATGCGCTTTTGCTTTCTTAAAGTTATATCAGTTACAGGATTTCTTCTTTCATTTTTGTTTTTTCTAAAGACCTTGTGTGGATAGTAATGACCGCACGTTTCCGATTGCCTGCTGGCAGAACCTACAATGTACGAGCGTCTGAGCTGGCACGAGACAGACAACATACAGAGGTGGTCTGCAATATTCTTCTCCTGGATAACACTGTACAAGCTTTCAGAGTTCATGTAAGTACAGTTATATGTATTATTTAATTTAGTAACAGTTTCACTGTGTACCTGCTTTAATTTGTATATACCAAGTATTTACTTTTCTTCACTGAACTGTGTCATAAGTTTGACCTCCAAACAAGACATGAAAAGTGTTAAATAAAAAAAACAAAAACACCTTAATAAAGCGAGATACTATATTTGAACAAACATGCTTGCACATGTGTATAATTAGCCATCTTGTGTACCTCATCAGTTTTGGCATCCTCTGTAAATACAGTACAAACACTCTGTTTGAGAATTGAGTGTTAGGAGCATAGTCTTCTGCTATCTGATCCAGTTTCTCTTTAGGGCCCCTATACTGCATGATGAAGCCAATGGTAGTTTTCACATTGAGTTGAATGGAAGCAGGAACAGGCTCTAATTGTTTGTCAAGTGTTTGCATTTTAAACACGTGTATCATTTGTAATGCTATCTACATTCTTGACTATATTTCATATGTTTAGATAAGTTAATGTAATCGTATTTACTATTGAATGTATAGATTTTTCTGAATATCATCATATCTCTTTCTCCTCTGCTTTTCTCGGATTATATTCTGTTTAGTTCCCAGTATTGTTATCTTTTCTTAAAAAGACATACATAGTATATACCTTAAAGAAGGGTAGGAGAGAAGAACCAGGAAACCAATGGCCAATTAGTTGATGAATGATATTGGTAAAATAATTACAAATGTAGTGATGGAGTCAGTGTATAAATATTTGGAAGGCAGTTTTCTTTTAAAAACTGGGTTGGATTGAGAAAATCTAATGACCTATCAAGCTGTAATTACTTATAGAATAGATAAAATGAAATTGTGCGTTCTTGTACACGTATATATGTTTATTTATGGTATTTGGACATTCAAAAAACATTTGACAAAGACCCTTACAAAAAGCTATTCAAGAACACGAAAGTTGTCATGGAATGAAAGCTAAAGTACTGTCATGGGTTAGAAACTTGCTAAAAAAGAAAAAATATTCTCAACATGGCAAAAGGTTAATAGTGCAATCCCCATTCTTATAAGGACAGATGTTCAATTTATATTTATCAGTGATCTGAAAAAAAAGTGAACAATGTGGTGGCAAAATTTGCAGATGGCAGGATTATTATGATTAATCAAGACTAGAAAAGACTGAAGATTTCAGAGGGTTAGGTAAATGAGCAGCATGATGGCTGATTGAGAGCGGGGGATAAAGGTGAAGTGGAGTTGAGAAGGAGCTTCACTCTGGTGAATCATAGATATGTTTGAATATTTTTTCTGTTGGAATGACATTTTTAGGAAGTTGTAAGCAGAGAAATTTTAATTTTAAAAATATGAACAGCTGTTTAGTTTAGCAGTTGGGAAGTTATTTGGGATATAAGAGAGAGAATCATGTAACTGAGTGTGATTATTTCATTTAAAGTACAGAATAAAAACTGAATTTTTATCTCTTCTTTCAGAAACCAAGTAGCAATAAAGCATCTCCAGTCTTTTCGCAGCCTCTTTTATGCATAGAGATTTTTAAAAGATTAAAATAAAATATGTTTGTATTGCAGTTTAACATTATTGGGATGGCATTTCTGAACAAAATGAATGTCATTATAAACTTCTGGAAGAAAAATAAATCACCAACATCATCTCTGCTGTTAACCATCGCAAAAAGGGTTGTAAAAGTTCAGTGTAATGTAGAAACAAATGAGAGCTGCCAAGATTGGAAGATAGAGGAAATATGCCCTCCAGGAGAAATTGAGTTTTCACATAACACTGTTATTTCTCTCTTTGAATGATAGGAAATAATTATTTGTAATCACTATGGTTCCAATTTTGTCATGGTAAAATTAAGTACAATTAATGGAACGTTTATGTGGCAAAAAAGGACAAAATCAGGGTATGGTCATGGTGGGACTGAAGCTGAAGCCAGAGCTCCGCTGCCTGGGGCTGACAGCCGGAGCCGAAGAAGTCACAAATATCTGTTAAAGTCATGTAATCCGTGACCTCCATGACCAAATTGTATCTTTAATAATTACTATTAGGATCAGAGTCTGTGCATAGAGCTGGCAAGTTTCTTTATGCAACTTTGCCAATAAACCAAGATCCTGATCTGTGGCCCTCTTTGTCCCTTCTATTCGGGTCATCCAGTAACCACAAAATGTCAGGGCTTGTCTACACGGTGCCAGCAGAACACAATAGAGGGGTGTGATTTGTAAAATGCACTAATGTGCATCACGCTGATTGCGCCTATAGACCTGCTGACACACACTACACCTAATTTGCGTTGATGAAGTCCGATTTCAAACAGAAGTACATGAACGTGAATAATATACCTTTTAGAGTACTCCAGCAGGGTCTACATAGGGCAGTTAGAGTGCAGCATGTTAGTGCACTTTACAGATCACACCCGTCTGGTGCGCTTTGCAGTGACCTGAAGAGAAGCCCTCAGTTATGCAGAATTGTTTAGCTTTGTGAGAAAGATCAGTGCTAGCCAGTGATTAAGAAGAGACCATCAAACTTGTCATTTTAGACATTCCTGGTTTGAACCTAATTCACTTACAGTGAAAGGGTAATGCACTTAACCTACACATTGTTGTACAGCGTTATTCTATCCCAGCCTTTGCTTTGGGCAATTAATTTTTAAAAAGGTGGGGATCAGGATTTCCTATAATCCCTGAGGGGCATATTCATTTTTTTTTTAAGTTGATGGGATTTTTGCACTGCCCCCACCCCCTTCACATCTCACAACTGCCTGCTGTCATGAGGGAGCCCAGGGGAATCCCCCTACAATTTATAGCAGGGAGGAAGGTGCAGGCCACCCCTGAGAGAAGATCATTAGTGGCTGGCTGTGGGTTGGGGTATCAAATACCACCTTGCCCCCAACTACTGGATTGGCCCAAAAATTTCTGGTTGAAGCTTTTTCTTTTTGAGTGAAGGCGAAGCAGAACTTTCTTCCCACCCCGGAAATCAATGATGGTTCTATTATACAGAGTTTTCTGGAGGAAGGGTATGCCAGCAGAGTGAAAATTGGGATTCTACACACACTGACTCTACTCACTTCTGCATTGACACTATTATCACAGCTGCAGAACTTTGAGGAAAATTCCAACTGTTTAGACTAACAGTTTGGTTCAATAATTTGTCTGTCTGATTCCCAGATCTCCATTTTATTTGTGAGCAGATTGTGCGCTTCCCCATCTAAAGTGTTTGTAGGGGCTGGTGCCCCTGCAGGCTTTAGGAAGAATGCTAGTCTGAGAAAAATTAGAGGCAAAAGGAGGGGTCTCTGTGTCCCTACGTCAGTCCCTTACCTCATGTGTGATTGGGGAACTTTGTCTGGCTTTGTGGACAAAGTGCAAGATCCCTTACTGCCCAGTCTAGGCGGGATCACCTCAGTTGTCGTCCTCCCTTGGGCTGGAAAGGAGCCCAGCAGGATTGAAGAGACCAGCTCTGCTGGACAAGTTGCAGCAGTATTGCTCCCTGGCAGGAAAAAAGGCAGGATTGAGGAAAAAACTGGCCCTGGGGCAAACAGCTCTGCCCCTTCCTCCATCTCCATGGGCGAAGTGAAGCCAGAAGGACAATGCGACAGATGGATAATCATGCTTACATCCTTATAGTCCACACCAGCAACTGCATCTGTAACTGCAGAGTTCAGTGATTTCTTCCCTGTCTGCTTCCCCATGAGTCATGGTTGTAAGAACTGGATACAGCACAGATTGTGCCAATGCAAACGTTTCTTCTGCATGCCTTAGTGCCCAGACGAAGATGATGGGTACACACACTGTACCTTGTTTTGGGTGCCCACAATTAAGGATCATCTTGCTTTCTACTCTGGAAGCATGTTGCTGTGAAAATCCCATCACAACAGATCTGTAGACCTTAGCATGAAGAAGAAAAATTCTGTGCCAACCTAAAATTTCTTTTTTTCAAGTAATAAGATCTGCAGATCTGGTCAACCTTGGAGACAAATAGATCATTCAGAATAGAGATGGGTATTGACATCCATAGATTTGGATTTGTTGGTGTTATGTGGAATTTACCATGCTCAGCAATAGAAGAAATTGTTATATTTTTTTCTCAAAGTGTATTACACAGTTTATAATTTAGAAAAATGGATTTGAATTATTCTCACTGTAGAAATTATCTCTATTGGAGGGAACTTCAAGAGGCGGGATATTCCCTGCCTGCCAGTAACTGACAAGTTTGGTTCTGCTTCCAAGCTCTAAGCAGGCTGAAGTGAAGTACCCATTGCAATAGCACTGTGGACCTTATTAATTGAAGAAAGGAAACTTTCAGGTAGTACAGATACATTTTCATATTGTGCTACTTTGTACACCATATTTCCTCTTGATTATGTTAAGTCTTCAGCCTCATTATTGTCACTACGTGACATTGAATTACATGAACCACTTAACTGGCTCAAAGCCTAATCAATTCAAAACATTTTGATGTGGTTTTATTGTTTATTACCTTCTATGCTTAGTGACTTTTCACATTAATTTTTTTAGCAGTACAGTATTCAAAGGGATTTTCAAAAACTTGTAACATGAAAGCTTCATTATATTAACATAATAAATAATAAAATTGATAACATGCTCAGTTGTAAGCAAACGTGTCTGAAGATAGAATAGTCAGTCTGAGTTATATATGTAATAAATAAAATTCCATATAAGATAAGTGAGGATCACTAGGAATGCAAGCAAAAATGAGTGTGGCACAGACCTGAATTGTAATTTTAATTGAGTGCAGAATTGCATCCTTTCTAGCTACTGAAGTCTGCTTATAGAATGCTGGTATGCAGCATTGGTCTCTCCAAGGGGCAGGATACAATGTGAAACAAACCCTTATTGTGAATGCTAGCATAGGTGGTTTAAATCTGCAGCTGGTGTTATGTGGAAATGCTACTTGCAGGTTCTCATTGGATATGCTTAGTGTCTATTATGAAGGCGCTGGTTTTGACACCATAGTTAAGGCTGACACCACTTTGTACTTATAGCAGGGATTTTAC